ACGTGGCTCTGAAGTCCCTCATTATTTTACGAGGGTATGCTGCATATGTTGCGCGATATAAGGCAGATGACATGTACGGTGTGTCCCGAATTACAGCATCAACAAATCCAACCATTCTTGCATCCTTGAACGAAATCCCAACAACATTGCCGCTGTCATCGATTCGTCGGATCGTGTCCTAATCAAAACGAGTTTCTTGCCCATATGCATACATTCACTGTGGAAGGTGCGAAAGGCGGCAGCCCGTGCCCTATTGTGTCAAAAGTGAGTAATCACAATCCCTTTTGATGGTTGTTACACGCGCATCCATCGTTCACAAGACAAGGTGATCAGATCTCAGCAGGTCCGGGGATTACCCAAAAAACTAATGGAAGAGTTCCGGAAGAAGTTATTCTGAGTATACATTCATAAGTGCTTATTCCATCACAAACCAAAAGATCGACTCTCCATACATGATCATTCACATCAGCGAGAGAAGAGAAGAGGAGAGAGAGAGAGAGAAAGAGAGAGAGAGAGAGACGAGAATATCAAGCCAAGAGGGAGAGGTCACACTGAGATCTGGGAATGCAAGAGAAGGTCCGACTTTACCGCCATGAGCTCACACCAAATAATGGATTTGCAACAAGGGGGCGTACTCGCCGTCAAATTCCAACATGGCCCCGGGCCAATCATTCACTCAACTCAAATCACTCGTCTTCATTCATGCACTGACGATCCCGGCCATTGTGTTACCATCCAATACTGCGATCGTCACCCCGCCACTCTAAGCTCAACGTGGCTTGTCCGGATCCCACAGTCCGTCGTGGCGATCTAGCGCACAACCAGCCAGTCTACAGCCGGCTCGTTAGGACTGTCCGACTTGCACTATACACACATCATCTAGCCACTGCTTCTCGGAAGCTGGCCGACGAGTTGAGAGAGAGATTTGTGGGTGCGTCGTCGGAATTTATAGTTGCGAGAAGGGAGAGAGACGTGGGGAAAGACGAAGAGTGAGGTAGAGGAGGGTAAAGGAGGGCTTGAGAGTAATTGCCCGTCGAAAGCCATGTTAATCCTTCTCAACTCGATTTCAGCCAATCAGAATCGCCGCGCAGTAAGAACTTACACGACGCTTCTCCTTGGCTAGATGGGGAGAGAGGATCGACTGGGTTTTCGAGCGCGGATCTTAGAGCGGGAAGAAGATGAGTGCGAAGGATAGCTCGAAACGGGTCCAAGATTCAGATGATCAAGAAAGGGAAAAAGGGTGCGCGCTGGGAAGGGGAGGGAAATGCAGTTACAGGGGGAAGGAGAGAGAAAGCATGTGCGCGCGAAGGGAGGCGTTGAGAGGGGCGAAGGGAGGAAGGAGGAGGGAGCTTGCTTGCATAGCGCCGGTCGGCAAAAGGAGAATGGGCACCGAAACAGTTGTAGTTTTCCCCAATCCTATGCTAATTAAAAAATTGAAAGTACCATATCCGCGCAAAGCAGGCGCGGGAAAGAAAGAAAGTCCTTCATCCATCCATATTCCTACAAGGATTCCTAGAGTTTTCTAGGTCGAGGCCGAGAACATTCGCGAGCGAAAGGTCGCGCGGTGTTCCATTAATTCCGGAATTCCTAACTGTCGAGCCAGATTCCGAGCGCGCTCGCTAAGGCGCGTGAAATTCCAATGCATTTTCAACAAGAAAAAAAAAGAATTGACAGATTTCAACGAGGTACCTTTAATCGAGCAAAAACAGAGGGAGGGGG